ACTATTACAATTCTATAGTCAGATATCCTTGTGCATATATGTGACTCCCTCTTCAGGACTGGTATTCAGAAATGCAAACACTAGGTCTTAGAGTAGGCACAACGTCCCTCTATTCTGAAAACAGGCTGTGGCTGAGTTACTGCTAACTCAGTTTCTGCAATGTACAGTCATGTTGACTGGGCACGGCATGAGTCTTTTGACTGCCGATAGTATATTAGGAACTGGGAGACTTTTAGAGAAATTTCTCCTTCATCTTTATCTCATACTGTATGAAAAATGTATCATGTTCCTGACCTTGAGGGAAAACGAAATCAAAACAGTCACTTCCTCCCCCTTCCAGGTGACTGAGATTAGTAAAATTAGGGTCTCCAAGCAACCTCTGCTTCACTCTGTGATGACATTTACCACAGCACTGTAATTGTTGGTACTTATCTGTTTGTACTCAGCTCCTAAACTTTGGGCTTCCTAAAGGGTAGAGTTTATGTCTATGTTTTTTATCCCTGTAACATTAGCATGATACCTAGCACCTAATTTTGTTTTTTTGAATAAATTAATGAACTCAATTCAACATTAGCATTTGTTGAGTACTTCACACATACAAAGATTACTGAGAACTGATGGAAAGGAAGTTCTGCCTTCAAGAGATTTAGTCTAATGGGAGAAATAGATGCTGAAAACCTCTAGGAATCAAGGCATTAGTGACACATGTGATATAAGTTCAAAGAACTGTAGAACTTCCTAGGAGGACTAATTAAGGCTGACTGAAGAAGTTTTCACAAAGGAAGTAGCATTTGAGGTAAGCCTGATAGAAGTTGGTGATTTTTTTATGATTTATCATTTTGGTGATTAAGAATAGGTGAATTTAAGCAATGTTTTGGAAACCATTTTGTCACCTTCTAGATAGATGTCATGTAACAGGACTACCAAAAGGCTTGGGGCGTCTAGGTGGCTCAGTCGGTTAACTGTCTGACTTTGGCTCAGGTCATGATCTCGCCATGTGTGTGTTTGAGCCCCATATCGGGCCCTGGCATTTCAGAGTCTGGAGCCTGCTTCAGATTCTGTGTCTTCCTCTCTCTCTGCCCCTTCCTCACTCACTCTCTGTCTCTCTCAAAAATAAATAATTTTTTTTTTAAAAAAAGTCTATGCTTCAGATTCTGTGTCTCCTCTCTCTCTGCCCCTGCCCTGCTCATGCTGTCTCTCTCTCTCTCAAAAATAAACAAAACATCAAAAAAAAAAAAAAAGGCTAAAAGTGGAGGATTATACTTGAGTTCTAGAACTAGAGCCTCAGAACCTAGATCAAGCCAAAACAACTTTAGCTCTTGGTATACCTGTGGAGGAAGAAGTTGTTTCCACATATAAAATGTCAATTCTGAATGTCTTAACATGCTATTTCTCTTCTTTTCAAATAAAACAAAAGCTTCTCTTGACACACACCTCTACCTTGACCAGCCGCCACCCCATTTCTTTGATTTGCTTTGCTGAAAAACTCCTTAAGTCATCTTTCTGTCTCTGGTTCTACTATACTGTCTTAAACCCACTTCTAGGAATAGCATACAGAACCCAGAAATGGACCCACAACGGGGTGCCTGGGTGGCTTAGTCGGTTAAGCATCTGACTGTCGCTTAGGTCATGATCTCGCAGTTCGTGGGTTCGAGCCCCGCATTGGGCTCTATGCTGACTGCCAGCTTGGAGCCTGGAGCCTGTTTCAGTCTGTGACTCTCTCTCTCTCTGACCCTCCCCTGCTCACGCTGTCTCTCTCTCTCTCTCTCTCCTAGAAATAAATGAAACATTAAAAAAAAAATTAAAAAAAAAAAAAGAAAGAAATGGACCCACAAATATATGGCCAACTAATCTTCAACAAAGTAGGAAAGACTATCCAATGGAAAAAAGAATCTCTTTAGTAAATGGTGCTGGGAGAACTGGACAACAGCATGCAAAAGAATGAAACTGGACCACATTCTTACACCATACATAAAAATAAATTCAAAATGGATGAAAGACCTAAATGTGAGACAGGAAACCATCAAAACCCTACAGGAAAAAAAATAGACAGCAACCTCTTTGACCTCAACCATAGCAACTTCTTGCTAGATATGTCTCCAGAGGCAAGGGAAATAAAAGCAAAAATGAAATATTAGGAACTCATCAAGATAAAAAAGCTTCTGCACAGCGGCACCTGGATGGCTCAGTCACTTAAGCATCTGGCTCTTGGTTTTGGCTCAGGTCATGATCTCATGGTTTGTGAGTTCAAGCCCCATGTTGGGCTCTGTGCTGACAGTGTAAAGCCTGCTTGGATTCTCTCTCTCTCAATCTCTCTGCCCGTTACCCCCCCCCCTTTCAAAATAAATAAATAAACTTAAAACACTTCTGTACAGCAAAGGAAACAGTCAACAAAACTAAAAGGCAACTGATGGAATGAGAGAAGATTTGCAAATAACATATAGGATAAAGAAGTTCTCAAACTCAACACCCAAAAAACAAATAATCCAGTGTAGAAATGGGCAAAAGACATGAATAGACTCTTCTCCAAAGAAGACATCCAGATGCCCAACAGACACGTGAAAAAATGCTAAACATCACTCATCATCAGGGAAATACAAATTAAAACCATAATGAGATACCACCTCACACCTGTCAGAATAGCTAACATTAACAACTGAGACAACAACAGATGTTAGCAACGATGCAGAGAAAGAGAATCTCTTTGGCACTGCTGGTGGGAATGCAAACTGGTGCAGCCTCTCTGGAAAACAGTATGGAGGTTCCTCAAAAAATTAAAAATAGAACTACCCTACAACCCAGCAATTGTACTACAGGTATTTATCCAAAGGATACAAAAATGCTGATTTGAAGAGGCACATGCACCCCAGTGTTTACAGCAGTGCTATAAACAATAGCCAAATTATGGAAAGAACCCATATATCCATCCACTGATGAGTGGATAAAGAGATGGTACAATGAAATATTACTTGGTGATCAAAAGAATGAAATCTTGGGGCACCTGGGTGGCCCAAAACAAAAGAAGTAAATGTTACTTAAAAACAGTTGAGCCAAGTGCTCGCTTCGGCAGCACATATACTAAAATTGGAACGATACAGAGAAGATTAGCATGGCCCCTGCGCAAGGATGACACGCAAATTCGTGAAGCGTTCCATATTTTTATAGAACTCCCCTATGACCCAGCAATAGCACTGCTAGGAATTTACCCAAGGGATACAGAAATGCTGAGCCATAGGAGCACATGTACCCCAATGTTCATAGCAGCACTCTCCACAATAGCTAAAACATGGAAAGAGCCTAAATGTCCATCAACAGATGAATGGATCAAGAAGATGTGGTTTATCTAAACCATGGAATACTACATGGCAATGAGAAACAATGAAATCTGGCCATGTGTAGCAACATGGAAGGACCTTGAGGGTGTTATGCTGAGTGAAATAAGTCAGGCAGAGAAGGACAAATATCATATGTGTGCACGTATAGGAGGACTAGGAGGAACTTAACAGAGGACCAACCGGGAGAAGAAGGGCGGAAATGGTGGGGGAAAGGGAGAGAGGCAAACCATGAGAGACTCTTGAATGCTGACAAAAACTGAGGACTGATGGATGTGGGGGGGAGGAGGGATGGGCATGGAGGAGGGCACTTGTGGAGATGAGCACTGGGTGTTATGTGGAAACTAATTTGACAATAAACTATTTGTAAAAAAAAAAAAAAAAAAAAACAGTTGAGCCAAACAAAAGAAGTAAATGTTACTTACTTCTCTTTCTGCCTCTCCCCTGTTCATAGTATCTCTCTCAAAAGTGTATAAATATTTTTTAAAAAGAACTTTTTAAAAAGTATTTTAAGGGGGACCTGGGTGGCTCAGTCAGTTAAGCATCCGACTTCAGCTCAGGTCAGATCTCACGGTTCATGGGTTCGAGCCCGGCATCAGGCTCTGTGCTGACAGCTCAGAGCCTGGAGCCTGTTTTGGATTCTGTGTCTCCCTCTCTCTCTGCCCCTCCCCCACTCATGCTCTGTTTCTCTCTGTCTCAAAAATAAATAAAGTATAAAAAAAATTTTTTTAAAGTATTTTAAGAGTATTTTTTAGGGACGCCTGGGTGGCTCAGTCAGTTAAGTGTCCAACTTCACCTCAGGTCATGATCTCACGGTTCGTGGGTTCGAGCCCGGCATCAGGCTCTGTGCTGACAGCCAGCTCGGAGCCTGGAGCTGTTTCAGGTTCTGTGTCTCCCTCTCTCTCTGAACCTCCCCTGCTTACGCTCTCTCTCTCTCAGAAATAAATAAAACATTAAAAATTTTTTTTAAAATATTTTTTAAAAAGAATGAAATCTTGCCATTTGCAATAACATGGATGGAACTAGAGTGTATTATGCTTAGTGAAATAAGTCAGAGAAAGACAAATACATGATTTCACTCATATGTAGAACTTAAGAAACAATAGTTGAACATAAGGAAAGGGAATGAAAAATAAGACAAAAACAGAGAGGGAGGCAAATCGTAAGAGACTCTAAAATCAAGAGAACAAAATGAGGGTTGCTGGAGGGAAGGGGGGGATGAGCTAAATGGGTGATGGGCATTAAGAAGGGCACTTGGTGGGGTGAGCACTGGGTACTCTATGTAAGTGATAAATTCCTGGGTTCTCCTCCAGAAACCAATACTACACTGTATGTTAACTAACTTGAATTTAAATAAATTAACTTAAAAAAACCCACTTCTCTTGTGCTCTTACCCCTACCAGTCCATCAAAACTGTTCTCATTGGGGTCAACAGTGACCGCATTGTTACTCAGTCTGATGGTCAAATTATTATTAATGGGCTAATCATTAGTTTTCTTCCAACATGATATTAAATATTCTTTCAGTGCATGATCTCTAATGTTTGGTGATGCAAGTACTTTGCAAAGTATAAAACACCATACAATACACCATGATAGTATCATTATTCCTTCTTTAAGAACCTGAAAATTTTATAACGATTTTGATTTTTTTTTTTTTTACCTATAGGGGACATGGTCTCAAAGTACAGAGAACCTTTGATCCACACATTCCTGAGGGGAGCAAGAGATCGAGATAGTGCTCACAGGGCCAGCAGCTTATCTAACCTTGGAGAATTGTGCCGGAGGCTGGACTTCCTGCTGGGCTCTGTGGTTCATGAGGTACCGTGTGTTGGTTGTTTTTCTGATGCTTCTTTTTACTTGGACGTGTGCTATAGCTTGGGATTGAGAGTCAGATCTGTGTTGTTTTTGTTTTTGTTTTTGTTTTCCAAATCAGGTAAATCATTGAACCTACCTCAACCTCACTAGTCTTATATATATATTGGAAGTTATATTCATAAGAATTTTGTCTTGCAAGTGACAAGAAGTCACCTTAACTTACCTTATGTATTTAAAGAGGGTTGAGGGGTGCCTGGGTGGGTCAGTCAGTTAAGCATCCAGCTCTTGGTTTCTGCTCAGGTCAAGATCTCATGGTTCATGGGTTCGGGTCCTGCACTGGGCTCTGTGCTGACAGCTTGGGATTCTCTCTCTCTCTTTTCCTTTCTCTCTGTCCCTCCCACGTGCATGCTTTCTCTCTCTCTTTCAAAATAAATAAACTTAAAAAAAGGAAGAAGTAGGGGCGCCTGGGTGGCTCAGTCAGTTAAGCATCCAACTTCGGTTAAGGTCATGATATCATCATTTGTGAGTTCGAGCCCCGCATCGGGCTCTGTGCTGACAGCTCAGAACCTGGAGCCTGCTTCGGATTCTGTGTCTCCCTCTCTCTCTGCCCTTCTGTCACTCATGCTCTGTTTCACTCTGTCTCAATAATAAACAAACATTTAAAAAAATGGGGAAAAAAGATGTTACTTAGAAAAAAAAAAGATTATAACAATTCCAAGATAGCTACCATAGTTGAAGAGACTTCAAGGAAGAGCAGACAGAACTCTACCCTGGGTCTCTGGGCCATCTGTGAGCTCGTCTCTGTTCACAAAGAGATCCCAGGTATATATTCCAATTGGCCCTCTTTGGTCAGAGGTGCCCTGTATTTAGGGGGACGAGATTATTTACCAGAAAAGACTAATTAAGTTCCATGTTTTGTTTACCACTTTACACCTAGTAACTGGTATATAGTAGGTAAAGGATGAATGGGCAGCCGTGTAGGATGTTGACACTGGACCCTCCTCCTGGTTTCAGAGTTTCTGAGTTAATGAAATGTGCATCTTGCTGTTGTCCTCTACGAACATCTTCCTCTAGCTCCTTAAATTTTATCTTTGCCCTCACATTTATTTAGTCATCAATATATTAATATGTATCTTGACTTCCTACTATGTGCTAGGCACTCTGCTATTTAAAGATAATGCTGGACAGAAAAAGATAAGTTAACATGTGGCCAGGAGTCTTTTTATTACCAATGCACTTGACTGTGTTAAATCTTTATTTGGAAGACAATAGCTTGTAAATTATAAATATATAAATTTTAAAAAGTGTATATTACCTTTTTATTTATGAGAGACCAGATCTCTTATATAGAGCACATAACTTCACTAGAACAAAAACTTCCAAACTGTAATACTAGCTTCTTTCTTCAGACCATGTTGACAACAAATCTTAAGAAGTTCCTAGTGAGAAGGAATTTTCTTTGATGTCATGATTGTGTCTTATCAGTAAGCAGAGAAATATACCTGTGGATGTACACATACACTTGAATTTATGGCTTTTCCTGATTCCTGGGCTTTGTAGGCTTTGTTTCATTGATAGTAATGAATGAAACTTACTACTCATGCCCTTAAATTCCAATTTCGGATTTTTTTTTCCAACTTAGGGTTTTTAAAAAAGCTATGCATCAGTCACTTCCTCTCCTTTAACTCTTCCATGAGGAACATACCTCTATGCCCAATTTTTTATATATTTTTTCTCTTTTTTTTTAAAGTTTGTATTTGAATTCCAGTTAGTTAACAAATAGTGTAATATTCATTTCAGGTGCAGAATTTAGCAACTTGACACTTACCATACAACACCCGGTGCTCATCACAAGTGCCCTCCTTAGTCCCTGCCACCCATTTATGTGTCTATTTTTTAAAATTTAGAAATAATGATTATTACCAGCTTAAAACCTTAGAGGGCTCTACTGTATGTGAACCATTAGAAACCTGATCTTCGGTGGTTTGGGATGTCACTCATCCAAAGAACGAATCTCTTGTCCTTTAGTATATGAACTTGTAACACAAGAGAAGGCATTTGCGGGTCTATTTTGCTTATGTTGTCTAAAGATTTCAGCCTATTATAACTTCTCTGGGTCAAATATGGAAGCAGTTCCTACATTTTTCCCTAGTTATTTGGTATCTTCATATGACTCAACCCAAACCAAGCCATAAGCTGTGATATGAACCAAACCCAAACATTATTATTTTTACTAACATCTTTATTGAGATGGAAGTCACATACCATATAAGTCACCTATTTAAAGGGTACAATTCAACTGCACTTAGTATATTTTGCAGTGTTGTGCAAGCATCACAAAAATTTTTAAAACATAGCTGTGAATGGAATAAAAATTGACCCTGGATCCCAAGTGGATCAGCTCAGGTTTGACATGTTCCCATACATTTTCTAAAACCAATGACCCCAAACAATACCTGAACATAATGGTCTTCTCTGAACCAAAAACCTGAGACCAAGTTTCTTTACGAGTCCCTAGACTCTTCCCTTTTTCTCTCTTACGGAAACAGTAGCATGCTGGTGGCATATGATTTCCTATCAGGGTGTTAGAGAAATTTCTTGGTTTGGTTGTTTGAAAAACTGAACTAAAGCAGGTTTTTATATCTCTCTGGAGAGCCACCTGACCTGTTGAAAGAGAATGACGTTTCCAAGTGCACTTGGGGATGGGAATCAGTGAGGGCCTAGCTCCTCCACCTACTTACCTGCATTCATTTGAGCACACACGACTTAGACTCTGAACTCAGTGTCTGACTTAGAAAATAGGATTAAAGAGGCGCCTGGCTGGCTCAGTCAGTAGAGAATGCAACTCTTGATCTCAGGGTCGTGAGTTCAAGCTCCATGTTGGGGATAGAGATTACTAAAAACTGGGAAGGATTAAAATGCCTACGATGAAGGATTGTTACAAAGATCTAGAGATAATGTATATGTGGAAAATAAGAAAAAGCAGAGGAGGATAAGGGTGGCCAGCATTGTAGTGTTGGGTGGAGGGGAGGTTGTAGTGTTAAACAGGGTTTCAAGGTTCGAAGCTCATTGAGAAGGTGACATTTGAATAAAGATTTTGCTTGAGTTTTTTGTTTTGTTTTGTTTTTTGTGTTTTTTTGTACTGAGATTTTTCTTTAAGGAGCATTTTGGTGATTTGAAGGAGGCTAATGATGACAGTCATGAGCATGCAGGAAGGAAATGAGGACAGGGGTAGCCAACATCCTTCAGATGTTACCAGTCATACATTTACCAAACACCTGCAATGTGCCAGGCCCTTTATTAGAGACCAAGGTTACAAAAGCCTACAAGATACCACCTTGCCTTCTAGGCACGGGTAACCTGGTGGAAGACATAGACATCAATGACCACAATTGTAGTCTTTCGTGATAAGTACTGGACGAGCATATTTTAGGACCCCATCAGTCAGGTTTGAGTGTTGACAAAGATGTGCTAGAGGAAGAGATGCTTGGACCTAAATCTTTAGAACAAGTAGAAATTGGGTAGCCCAAGAAGGCACTTCAGCAGAAAGAACAGCAGTGCAGAGGCACTGTGGTATGAGACAGTCTAGCGTATTTGAAAAACTGTAAGAAGATCCTAAAGGCTGGAGTGAAGGAATGGGGGTGGGAGGTTAGTTGGTGGCAGAACTGAGGCAAGAGAGGCAGGCGGGGGCTACATTATAAGGCTACATTATAGCTTTACAACTTCCTGGCTCATAGCAAGAATCTAGGATTGCTTATTAAACCTTCAGAAATGAAGTGTGAATAGGTAGTACGCTGTTCATTTACCATGAGTGCTAACACAGAAGAGAGCCCTTAAAATCCATGTGAAGAGCTGCCGCTGTGGGGGTACCTGCCTGGCCAGCCCCTTGTCCAGTGACCCTGCCCCACTTCTCGAGATCTGGGCTTCCTGAAACATCAACCCCAGGTGTGTTTATGATCACTAATGAATTGTGAACACGACAAGGGCAGAGTCCATCTTTATTTACCTTTGCCTACCCCCTAGCACCCATTACAATGCTTGGCATGCAGTGTTTATTGATTAATATTGAATGAAAGGAAGGTAAGGCTTATTTGGGAAGACTGGTTCCCACATGTCTTAAAAATAGTAACAACTTCCTTTCTCTTTCTTTCTCTTGAAATAAATAAATTATACATTTAAATCTTTAAAAAAAAAAAAAAAAAGGAGGGGGGATGCCTGAGTGGCTCAGTCAGTTAAGTATCTGACTTGGTTTTGGCTTAGGTCATGATCTTATGGCTCATGGGACCTGAACCTCATCAGGCTCTGTACTGATGGCTTGGAACCTACTTAAGATTCTCTTTCTCCCCCTCTCCCCCACTCTCATCTCTCTCTCTCTCTCTCTCTCTCTCTCTGTATCTCTCTCAAAGTAAGTGAACTTTTATTTTGAGAGAGGGGAAGAAAGAGCATGAGACCAAGGGAAGGATAGAGAGATACTGAGAGAGAGAATCCCAAGCAAGCTCTGTGCTGTGAGCGCAAAGCACAACACAGGGCTCATTCCCACAAACTGTGAGATCACGATCTGAGCCAAAATCAAGAGTTGGACACTCAACCCACAGAGCTACCCAGGCACTGCAAAATAAGTAATTGTTTTAAATCTTAAAAATAGTAATAATAGGAAGTGCTTAATACTTTTCTGAGTACCTTACATGTATCAACTGATCCAGTACTCACAAAGGAAACTGAGGCACAGAGAAATTAAATAAGTTGCCAAGGTCATACAGATAGGAAGCAGAGGGCTGGGATTTGAATGTAGGCAAGCAGTTCAGAATCCATGCTCTTAACCAGACTCTATATCGTCTCCCAATAAATGTTTTCAGTTCACTTATAATACTTCTGTGCAAAAAAAAAAAAAAAAAAAAAAATTGCTTTTGTGCTTAAAAAGGAAGAGAATTGCCATACAAGTAGAGCTACTGACAGGAAGGGTCATGTAGTTCTGTCTTAATAGCACTTGCTTTTGGCAACGA